GGAAGAATATGCATTGTATAACTGATGCTTTCCTAGAAGAAAGTACAGTACATCACGTACTGCAAGCCCAGCAACCATGTATGTTGTGGAGTGCCAGACTAAAACTAAGCAAGTGCAGTGCAGTACAACTCTGAAAGTCTTGTGAGGCAATGAAGTCATATGCAAGTGATGGTTACCAGAGAAGGAAAGCAGCCCCAGTTTAGTAGCTTTTGTTTGCAATTGCATTTAAACAATGAAAACTGAAGTGGTGGCGCAACGTTCAGGACATGTGTAGTGTCTGGCGGTTCCGAGGCCTCGGCACCAGTGGCGGTGGGAGACTGGCAGAGCGGCCCAACTTTGCCCCCTTTTCAGAGTTGGATTCTCGCTTCTTGTGGCTGGATTGCGTCATGTGTGTTTGTGTGGATGGCATCTGTTTGGTGGTGTCCGTTGTAAATTTGTCTAGCAATTGTTGGTCGTAGTCTTGTCTTGAGTGTGTGGATGTTTCGGCCTACTCTTAGGTTTGTACAGTTGTAACTTACTTTTTCTATCAATGCACCGATACGGAAGCTTTGTGATTTCTCAAGGAAAAAAATAGTGTATTACTATATGGGCAGTTGGGCATCACCATACTAAATGTGGAAGTTGCAGGTAGCCTAAGCAAAAATATTTTTCAACATACTGCAAATGTATTTTCAGAGATTTAACCAGTTAACGGTTAAATTTAAGTAAAACTAGTTAACAGTCATGACTTTTGACTTCTGAGATGGAGAAAAGTATAGCTACTTATGGATCAGGATACAAAATTGCAGATCTCAATATAACCTGACCAGGGTTCACATTGTCAAATTGACTTTTTTTCATCCAATTTAAACTGCTAGAAAGGATAAATGAAACAACAATCTCATTTTGCACAACGAAATGCTACACAGAAGCAGTACATGCCCAACAAGTACTAAACTGCAAAGAAGAAAACCATGAACCATATGTTGGTGCTTGTAAATTCAAGTAGATTGAACATTCTAATTTCCAAATGGGGCACCTAGCACAACTTGGAGATCCAGATAAAACTACAAATTTAAGCTAAAAAGCTTCTTTAGCATGACTAGCTCGAAATGGAGATGCTGGTGGTATGTTGTACCACAGCTAAATGGTCAATCTTCATAATCATGATATACAACTGAACACACTAATCGAGCAACCTTTTTTATATGCGTAAAACCAAAAAAAAAGATAAATTGTAACATTTATTAACACTAGAAGCTCCCCACAGGAATAGCTATCATTCTATCTCGAACCGGCACCGAATCAAACACACGTACCCCGCAACCGACATTGCATGGAAAATAAATGCGCATAATTCACTTGCCTCGTAGGCCTCAGTTATCTGCTTGAACCTGGCCTCAGCCTCAGCGCCACCAGTCGGGTTCTTGTCAGGGTGCCAGGTCCTAGCGAGCCGCCGGTACGACTTCTTGAGGTCCTCCAATGAGGCATTCCGGTTCACCTTGAGGATGTTGTAGTAGTCCATCGCCTCTTTGCCTTCCACAAACACAAGCAAACCACAGATGAGCAATCAAAACCCTAACCCTAGATCACCATGCTTCCAGACCCCCAAATCCGCAAGAACCCCACCAAATTCAGACAAACTTTGGGTGGTTCAGATCCTACCTTTCGTCCACCGCAAGCTGTTCAACACCGGATTCTCGGCAGCAGCGCCAAGAAATCGACGAAATCTGCACAAGAAACGCGGTGGAAATGCCTAGCCTCGCGCGACCTTCAATCCTCAGATATAGCCCGGCAAGAATTCGACGGGGGGCAGCCGCAAGATCGTGCCTTGCGTCTACCTACAACCAAACAGCGCCGAATCAACACGCCAGAAATGCGACGGATACTGAGATACAGATGAGCCAGAGGGGGGGAGAGGAAGATAAGGAACAAAACCGCCACCTGCGGCTTCGAAACGCCGCCGGAAAACTCACCGGAGAATGGGCTCCGCCGGCTCGGAAACCTCCGCCTTCCCCTCTCGCCGCGAATCTGCGGCAAGGGGGCGGAGCCGCCCTGATCTCGCGAAATAATTTTTGCAACTGACCTTTTTTTTTTCTATCCCTCTTGCTATTTTTTCTTTTATCTTTTACCTATAGGGAGGATATTGATTTATTTATATTAGTTTTCGGGGCTTTTGAGGAAGGGGAGGAGTGGGATACTCCGTATGGCTTTTTGGTATGGCCTGATTTTGAAATGGGTGCGGCGGCTATTCAATGGGTGATTGGAAGGGGGAAATTGCACATCTGTGTAAAACATACCATCAAATGATTTTTCCTTTTTTCTTTTGCCCAACTTTTTGTCGCAACCCCTTCCCAACCTTGACATTTCTCGGCGACGGTTCGGTTAAATTAGACCGATATCTTCACTCGTTCTCTTTTCATGAATACGCAAGATTGTGTATCATTTTATTGAAAGGTAGAGGGTGAAACAACTACAATGTGCGACTCGTAGCCCTGCATGTACAAGCCTGTCGTGATTGCAAGCACAGGAGCACAACAAAAAAAAGGGATGCTCATCCCTAAGACTAAGGGGCAGTTTGGATGAGAGCCGATGATCGTCTTACCAAAATATGACGTTGACCACCAGCGTGGGTGTCTGTTTGGTTGGCAGCCAAATTTTCTAGCCTACACCAATACTTTGATCGCTAGTTCGTTTTCTATGCCAACAATAGGGCAGGTTCGTGGCGGCGAATTTCATCGCCAACTTTTTGGCTCGCCCGCGATTTGGCGTGGCTGGCCTGGGCGCCATCCAAACGGCCCCTAAAGGCCTTTCATATGGGGCAAAATCAGGTTGAGCCCCTTGGTTTCCACCCCTATCTCAAAGCCTAGCCTCATACTCGACAATGCAGACAAAGTGTGCGCTGGAGGACGTCAACCTGTCGAAGATCCATCCATTTCGATCATTCCAGAGGCACCAAACAGTGAGCATAATAAGCGAGGATAGGCCCTTACGCAAGGCATGAGGGGTATGATCGGAAGTTTGTCCAATAGGTTGTTGGTCTCATCGTCGTTCAACTGCATTATTTGGTCAAAGACGACATCGTAGACAACGGTCATCCTGTGTCTTTGTCCTTTTGAGGAGAAGGTGATCAATCCCCCCCTATTGAGATGGTTGTGGGCGAGGAAACGATCCCATTCATCTCCTCCCGGTTGGGTCATCGTTGGTTCTTTTTCGACCTCCAAAGTGTAGGGGCCCCCAGGGGCCTCGAAGATCACACTGTCTTTGGTCAGCTTATTGAATTTTAACCTCACGTTGGAATGATCTATATATCAAAAAATAGAAACAAGAAAAAAAATGGTTATAGAAAAAAAACAGAAACATATCATGTCATATAAAGAAGGTTTGTTGTTACCGTCGAAGGAACATAGCACTGTTGGAAGTAGATGCCGAAAAGATCGCTAGTTGCAAAGCAGAGGGCGCACTTTGACTTGCATAATTCACATGGTGGTGGATGGGCCATTCTACAAGAAACATAGCATTTGCACATTACAACAACCGGATTCTACGCTTATTTGGGCTACATATTCTACAAGCAACATACCATTTTCATAACATTTCTTCGGTAACTTTTAAAAACGGAAGGCGATTTCTCTTATGGAACAATACATCAAACAATAATACATCCATACAAACTAGTATAGCATATTGCAACAACTAGCGCATTGCAACAACGAACAATACATCCATACAAAACCGGAAGACGATTTCTCTTATGGAACAAAACATCCATAAAACAAGTATAGCATACTGCAGCGATGAGCACATTGCAACAAAGAACAATACATCCATACAAACTAGTATACGATTTCTCTTATGAAACTACAGATTCCACACAAACAAGTATAGTATATTGCAGCAAACTAGTATAGTATATGCATACATAGAAGAAAAGGGGCGCGGGGGGAGGGGATCTCACCTCTTAAGGAGGAGGTGGCAGTGGCGGCGGCGGCGACCCCGAGCGAGGTCCGGAGGTGGTGGTGGCGGCGACGCTGGGCGAGGTCCGGAGGTGGCAGTGGCGCT